AGATAGCTGAGAAGAGCTTTAAGGCAGTCTCGTGGGACTGGGAAAAGAAAAGATTAGAGTTTAGATAGCTACAAAGACAACCAGGACTTCAAGGAATACAATCCTGGAGAGAAGGAAGCACAGAGAAGAGAGCCTGACATTGGACCCTGCTTTGCTTCACAAGGTGTTTACTGATGGGTAAGTAACCACTACGGGGCTGCGAAGCCAAGCTGAAAATGGTGCCTAGAGGAGCTTTCAGTAGCCTCATGACACTGAGAGTCAAATTTGGATTTCAAGGGCCACCAAGGAAGAGGGACCATTGTAAACATCCCAGATTCTGGTGGGATCCTGAAGTGCTGTACCCCAGGAATAAGGACAAACTGAATATAAACCAGTCTTGACAAAGACACCCAGATCTGAATCAGTTGAATTCCACACTGGATAAAGTTGATATCTCTAACCACTTGCAAAAAGCTGAACTAAACCCTCTCTGGACAAAGATAACATCATTCAAATCCTCAGATTATCTCTACAATATTTCATATATACTTTCCAACATTGAATCAAGTATCACCAATCATACTAAGAAAAGGAGCCAAGAGAAAAAATAGTCAATAGAAGCAGGACTGTAAGTTAATCCAATATTGGAGTTAACCAGTATACCAACATGGGAGTTAAAATAACTGCGATTAATATGCTCAAAATATGAATGACACAGTGGAGAACTTCAGCAGAGAACTGGAACCTAAAAACAGTAATCAAATGGAAATTCTGGAACACATTACAAATGAAATTAAGATTTAATAAATAGATTTAATATCTATTAAAAATAGCCAAAGTGTATACTAGTAAAATGAAAAGTAGATCACTGGCAATTTACAGACTAGACTAAACACAGAGGAAACCAATAAAAAAATAGAAATAAGAGTAAAATATGGATAAAATACAGAGAAAAAACTTAACATGCATGCAACTGGAATTCCAGAAATTGAAGTGAGGAAAAAAAAAATGTGCAAAAGATATTCGAAGAGAAAATGACTGAGAATTTTCCGAATCTGACAAAAGACTTCCAGGCACAAATTCAAGAGTTGTTATGTACTGAACCAGGTACACACACACACACAACTATAAACATCACCAGGGCAGGAAATAGGACACTGATGTTGCACCAACATGAAGTGGGGGCAGTGGACTTGAATTCCTTGCACAGAATCTGGCTCTTCACGTGCTCTCTCCTTGAAGAAAGGAATAGCACAGCCTGACTTGATGCCCTGAGGAAGTAATGAGAGAGCTGACATCTGTCTAAGAAGTAGAGTGGAGAATAGTCATCCGAATGAAGGCTCATGAATATAATGTACTGGTATAAACTACTTGCATAAGGAAAGAATCCTAAGCTGAGATTAAACTTCAAGCTCACCCAGAATCATTCACTGCTGTAGGGCTTTGAAGGAGGCAAAGTTGAAACAGTTTTGTAGGGAGGATTTAAGAACCTCAGGCTTATGAGATTTCCAGAGGAGACGAAAACTTTCTGGAGATAAGCTTAGAAGAAAATACTGCAAACCATGTGAATAAATCACAATGAGACAAAGTGAGCTGGTAAAAAAAGGCAAACGGGCAACCCCAGAACTGCCAATAATAGGACAAGCTTTAAAAATATCTAAAATAATTGTATTTAAAATAAATAAATATGATAAGAAAGAAATAGACTTCATGTTAGAAGGGCATAATAATATAAAAACCAGAATGTATGCAAAATAAACCACTAGAACTTCTTGGTATTTTTTTTTAGAAACTCATTGGAATGGAAAGGATTGAATAAAATTAGATGATCTGAGGAGATTACCAGCTAATTAGAAGATGAATCTGGAGAACTCAAGAAAGCAACATGACGGGCCGGCCCCGTGGTGCAGTGGTTAAGTTTGCACGTTCCCCTTTGGTGGCCTGGGATTCACCGGTTTGGATCCTGGGTGTGGACTTATGCACCACTTATCAAGCCAAGTTGTGGCAGGCGTCCCACATATAAAGTAGAGGAAGATAGTCACATATGTTAGTTCAGTGCCCGTCTTCCTCAGCAAAAAGAAGAGGATTGGTGGAAGATGTTAGCTCAGGACTAATCTTCTTCCTCAAAAAAAAGTTGAAAAAAATTTAAAAAAAAGAATACAACATGAAATATGAAGAGATAAAAATATTAAGATATGATACTAAGATATGAAAGATAGAATGAGAATGTCCAGCGGTTGCCCAGCATATACCTGACAGAATTTCCAAGGTAGGAAACAAGAGTGAATAGATGAGAGGCAAAACTCAAAATGCTCATAGTTGGGGCCGGCCCAGTGGCGCAGAGGTTAAGTGCACACATTCCGAGTCTCGGTGGCCTGAGGTTCGCTGGTTCGGATCCCAGGTGCAGACATGGCACCGCATGGCACACCATGCTGTGGTAGGCATCCCACATATAAAGTAGAGGAAGATGGGCACGGATGTTAGCTCAGGGCCAGTCTTCCTCAGAAAAAAGAGGAGAATTAGCAGCAGATGTTAGCTCAGGGCTAATCTTCCTCAAAAAAAAAAAAAAAAATGCTAATAGTTGACCAAAATCCCAGAAATGAAGAAAGACCTGCGTCTTCAAGAGTCACATTAAGCCAACAAGTAGACACATTATGGTGAATGTGAAAAATTAAATATAAAGCAAAAAATCTTAATAGCAACCCCAAAGAAAATCAGACTACTTTTAGAAAGAAATGACAGATGAATAGATGACTCAACATTAGCAACAATAGGCAGAAGACACTAGAAAAATATTTTCAAAATGCTAGAGAAAAATAACTGTCAAGATAAATTATCATTCAAGAGTGAAGGTAGAAAGACGTTTTCAGAAATACAGAAACTAAGGAAATTTGTTAACTTTCACAGAAAGAAGTACTAAAAACATATTCTTTAGGAAGATGGAAACTAAAAACAGAAAGGAGGGGGATAGAAATCAAAATGATGAGGCGTTGAGTACACCAGTTAGGGATGTGGGCGCTGGAGTCAGCTACACTGTGTAACTAGGAGTAAATTACTTCACCACACTGTGCCTCAGTTTCCACCTGTAAAATGAAAGTAAAAATAATAATAGTACTTGCATCAGAGGTATGTCATGTGAGGTCAACAAGTCAATACTTGCAAAGCCCTGGCACATAGTATAAGTTTAATAAATGGTGACTAAAAATATAAGTAAATAAATCACTAAATGTGAAGTAATACTGATGAAAATGCTAAGAATAATAACTATTTTAAGACTTTAAAAATAATAGACTTAAGTTACAGGTAGAATATTGGAAAATAATATGGTACAAAAATGAGAGGAAATTATTGGAGTATTTTAAGATCACTGGATTTTTTTCTTGCATGTAAAGAAGGGAGAAAATAAAGAATTGCAATTAATACTATAGAACAGTGTGGTCTCCGGGGCATCAGCATCAGCGTATGTGGGAACTTGTCAGAAATGCAAATTCCCAGGCCCTACCTCAGGCCTGTTGGATCAGAAACTCTGGGGATGGCGTCCAGGAGTCCACTCTAGAAATCTCGCCAGGTGATTCTAAGGCACAAGGAAGTCTGATAACCTCTGGTGGAGAAGTTAACAAAGAAGGAGGTGGGGAAAAAAGTTATGACAAATGGAAAACATGAAATCGTCCATAAAAATACAAATAAATATACATACCTAGCTGTTTTTATTAGGAGATCTCAAAACGGATTTAAAAGTCTGGTTATAGTCTTCTTACAAGATAAATGCACAAAAAAGTAAGGACCCAGAGTGATAGAAAGTCAAGAGATGAGCAGAGAGGAATCACAGGTGGTAGATCGTGTTACAGTTTCCAATTATTGCCTGCCTTTCTCTGTTAGAATATTAAACCTCTTCTCCATTGACTTGCTTTTGTCAACGGAACACGGGAGCAGTGACACGTGCCACCTCTGAGTTTTGACAGCATTGCATGGTTCTGTGTTCACTTTTATCCCCTTTACCTTGAGACTGGGATACAGGCTGCCCCTTCAGCCTGGTCCCAGAAGGAGAAAATCCAGAGCAGAGCTGAAGCTGACCCGCATCCACCAAGGTCAGGAGCAAGAAAACGGCATTTCTGTTACAGAAATCCCCTGCCGTTGTGGGACTATTTCTTACCACAGCATAATCTAAGCAAAAGTTGGTTAATACAGGAAAATAAAACAGAAAAATGCAAACCAAAGAAAGCTGGTGTACTGTAACAACATTTTTGAAGTTAAAATATTTATTAGAAATAGAGTTTAATAGCTCTCAGCCTTTACACACCTAACAAAATACTCTCAAAACAGAAGCCATATGTGGATAATATTACAAGAGAGAAATTGACCCAATATATTAGAGAAATAATAAACCCACCAACATGGTGGGAGATTTTCGCCTCATCTCTTAGAATTCTGGAATTAGGTCTGGAATCCTATCAGATAAAATCCCTCAGATAAAAGCTAACCAGACTCTCTTATTGCGGACAAGAGCATGGGCTGTGGTTGGACTCCTGGGCTTCCCAGGCTAGATGTGTGAGCCGGGTGTTTCTTTAAACTCTTTGGTCTCAGTTACGTCATCTGTACAATTGGGAAACTAATAGTGACCCGCTCAAAGCTCTGGTGGGCTGCTCACATGAGTTGACACATACGATGTGAACTTCCTAGGACAAGATCGGGCACACAGTTAATATTTTACAAATAACAGCTATTTTAATGTTTAAAATCATAACAATTACTACTGTTTCTATTGCTATTATTATTACAGGACAAGCTCATTTCATTCCAGAACAATGTGGAAAAAACAATGGAGTCAAGAGTTGCCTTTTCTTTGCTAATTTTCCTGATCAGAAGCGAAGGACCCCCTGTGCTTCCTGGGCTCCACTATTCAGATCTCCCAGTGGCAGCGCTCTGTATTCTTTCATTTCTTTCACAAATGGAAACAAATCTTTTTCTGGTGTCTTTTTTTCAATATTCCAAAATACACCACAAGCTAATATATAAATTTAAAATTCCTAATTTCACATATATAACTTTTTTTTTGCAATAAAGGAAAATATTAATTGGCAACTTGGTTTCCAGTAATTCACTTCTCAATATTCCTGGTTGACACCTAGAGCAGCTATAAAAACAAGCCTGCATATAATAATTAAACACTCTCCTTTAGCAGACTGTAGATGGCGAAGACTGGCCCTTAAGAGTAACAACAGAGTTTTGTCTAGTTCCCTTAAGGGGATTATTTTTTCTGCTCTGAACATTTGAAAACATATTAAAACTAAATACACAGAGTTTGAAAACTTTCTCCACACTCTGCAGTCGAATGAGAGAACACGTAAACATTTAATCACTGGATCTGATTCTGCTGCCACTGAATCCTGGAGTGGAAGGGGCGTCAGTCAGCCTGAGCTCCTGCTGCACCAGCTGCTAACCTCCTTGGTCCACGGGCGCTGTCGCTGCCCTCTGCTTCTTCAGAAGAAATAACAGCATCCCAGTCTTTCCTGTTACATAAGGTGATTTTTTAAGAGTGAACACTATCCACATCCACATGCACATGTGATCTTTGAAAGGAGGTACAGTCAAAACCTTAAAAAAAAAATAGTGTCCGTAAGAAAGAAAGAAAGTGACCACAAAAGCATTGAAAAGAAGGCTACCAGCTGTCATTTTACAAAAGAAGATAATCACATAATAATATATTATGTGCTTTGCATGATGTGTTTCTTTGTGTTTTTATTTAGGAAGTAATTCTCTGAGAAATTGCACATTGCTCACATTTACCAACGGAATTTTGTCAATTAAGCAGCCTGAGAGAAAGTCAAGGGCACCAGGGATATGAGCAAGCAGATCATTAAGTGTGATGACTGGGATGCGAGGATAAGGACAGCGATAACTCGCAGTGACTAGTGTTTTACAGCCATAATGCGTTTTGGAGTGTGTCCGAAAATGGCTATAAAAGACCTTGACCTGAATGGACCTGTAATTATTTGCTAGGACATTATCTCTCTGAACACTGAATAAATGTGAGATTTCAAATATTGTTAGATGAAGAATCAGAAATCCTGGTGTTTCATTATAAGCAGTGAACCATGGAATTGCTAAATTTACTGATGCAAATGATTTGGGTGTGTCATTGCTTTGCAAGGAGAGGAGGCACCTCTGCTGTGCCATCTGTTTCCCTTTAAGTGCATCATCCATCGGGTCTGTTTGGAAGACAGATGCATGTCAGAAACAAACAAACACAGGGCTAGCTGACAGGGCCCCAGCTTCCTTTCTGAGGGCCACTGTTCACTCTTTTCCACATCGTTTCTGTGCTTCTGAAGCAAATGCTGTGTGTGGTGGCCTGGAGGCCTGCGGTGTGCATAAACTGTTCGTATTTGGGGACACAGACTTTCATCATTTGCTACATGTGTTATATGTTTTATATGAAGAGGAGTAGAAAGCAAGTGTGTCCTTGGAGATTTATTCAAATACAAATTAATGTAAAATTTACACTAACTTGTAACTTTTGACTCTAATATACAAATCTCAAAGAAGCTGACCACTTTCTCTCATTGTTTGTGATATGATGGTGTGTGCTGATGTAGGATATTGACATTTTTTTTCAGATTGATCTTAACACAATCACTAAAATAATTTCATGTGTCTCTAAAATGATAACACTCATCAGGACTAAAATTTTGTGAAAGATCCCTCTGTTACCTAAATTGAGAAAATTTTGGAGTTGTCACACTGATCCTGAAGAGCAATATGTTCTTTCTCCTCTTTATTATGGAGGCATCTTATTAATCTATACTTGATATTTCTCATGCTTGAGTTGCAAATTCAACTGAGGAGAAAGCAGATGCAGAAGTTTTAAGAGGAAGGAATGGCACTTCAAAATTTATCCAATCATATGCATAAGCACTTAATTAAAGAGCAAAAGAAAGAAACTGTTCGCATCTCTGAAATAAGAAATTGAAGTTCAGAAATCGTAAGCAACTTGCTCAGGACTACCTGTGTAAAATAGTGGCGCCCCCTCCCGACCGTCTGTGGGACAACTCAAGCTTCCTGTGTGCAGTTGTTGGGATAATGGTTCTAAAATTTAGCCCATTTTTATTAGAGAATATCAAAATGTAACATGATTAATGATCATCTAGTTACTTTTGTTTTTCCTACCTAAAATAATTATTAAATTATAATTTTAATTCACTGAAATAATTTTTAAGTAAATACAAGCACAGATACAATGTAAAGGGAGAATAAAATGCTTACATAAAATATGTGACGTGGACAGTCACCAGCCACCCCAGCTGTAAGTACACATTATAAACATGTTCTTACTTGTTTGCCCAAATCAGAAGTATAAATTATGCCCCTCTTATACCTACCCCGAAAAACTGTGCTTCTGGACTTAGCGCAGAAACAAGTAGTGATCAAAGAGGGGCATCTAACCTTTTTTCACCTTAGTTCTTCTAAAGAATTCCAGAATTTAATCTCCCCAACAGTATTTTGATTCCAGACTCCAGGAGCTAATCTTCATTTTCTTCTATCTCTCCTCTCTTGTTTCTCTCAAAATTCTGTCTTGGGACGCTCACATTTTAATCAGGATGCTCATTTATCTTAGATACCTTTAGAATGCTTGCTCCTGATGTAAATTACTGCTTTCTTTACCTCATTTCTCGTAATGAGGAATCTTTCCTTGAAAGTGTTTTTCTCCTACCCTAACTATATTCTCCAAATTCTAGGCTCTTTCTCTCTTGTTTATTTGAGTCTTTTATCTTACTGTCTTTGTTGTAAGATAACAGAAAATATTTGAACACAGTTTCACATTGATCCACTTTAATCAAACCAAAATTTGCATGAGTGTGTGGCAATAGATTTCCAATGAGACTTTTTAGTCAGTTTGAAAATCTGTACTTTAGAAAAAAATCAACTGTGATCCATAAATAAGCAAAATGGTAATGATTTGAAGATTAATCTCTTGTGCCATGCCAGTGCAACAGGGTCCTATTGCCAGCTCTACAGTGATCAAACAGCCGTACTAAACTTATTTCTGCAAAACTGATCTTGAAGCCGAGTTAAACTAGCTGCTTTCATAGAAATACTTACTAGGAAGAAATGAATTTAAACAATAGGATGGATCCAGCCTTCAGGGTGGCATTTTTCATCTTAGCTCCAAAGCCAATGAAGAAAACCAAAGGATGCTTTGTTGGAACCGTCCCTAAGCCTTTCAGAAATTATTTCATGCTATCTCTTTGGAACAGTGTTTCTGTTCTCAAGTCCCTTAAAAGATAGTGCAGTTATTAACAAAAACGAGGAGGTGAAAGTCAGCTTCTACCTGCGAATTCTGCAGGACAGTGTGTTGCTCTTAGAGACACAGTTAAGAACTGGAATGGAGTGGCTGATCCCTTTGGTCCCAGGGAAATCCCTAAACCACGCTGTCCTCTGAAGCAGTTTTCCATTCACTTCATCCTGCAAGTTCTGCTCTGCTCCAGGTCCATGATTTCTGCGGATTTATTTTAAGATCCTGCAAGAAAAATTAGAAATCACAAGTCACTTGAGCATAGGAGGTCCCTTCAGCCGAAAATCCACCTGAAGTTTGAAAACGGTCCCAATGAGAGATAGTAATCAAATGGTCCGTGTGTAATCCTCAGGTTGATTATGATAGCACCAACACGTTGTGGAGAGCTGCTCACTGGAAAAAAATTAACTAAGAAATTCTGGAGCTGTGTAGTTCTAAAAAGAATTGGGGAATTTTGTTACTATTTTTTTCCCCAGGAACAGTAATGTGTTTTGCATTGACTGCAGTGGAATTTTTAATAAATGCATACCTTAATATTGACAATATTTCCCTCACAATTTTGCCTGGTAAACCCCTTTTGTTCCTATGTACAATCTCCTAAAACCTCTTAGTAATTTTAAAACGTGTTTTTGATCATATTTGCATGCTATGTGTTAACGAAATTCTCTTAAGCAAAGATAATTTCATTTTTTATCAGAGTGTGTTAAAGAGTATGGAACCAGAATTATGAAGAGTCTGTATTTTAGGGGTTTGGTATTTTCTCTCCAATTGTTGCCTTCAGCTGGGCCTTGTCAATTGCCCCTTCCTGCTCCTTAACCAAATCATGATTCCTTGTTCACTTTCTGGTCTTAAAATCCCAACCTGTCATGAGCTGGCCCAGTGGCATACTGGTCAAGTTCTCGTCCTCCGCTTTGGCGGACTGGGGTTCACAGGTTCAGATCCCAGGCGCAGACCTAGCACCGCTCTCAAGCCACGCTGTGGCAGCATCCTACATGAAACAGAGGAAGACTGGCACAGATGTTAGCAGAGCAACAATCTTCCTTAATCAAAAAGAGGAAGATCAGCAACAGATGTTAGCTCAGGGCCAATCTTCCTCACTAAAATAAATAAATAACATCTCAACCTGCCAAACTTAGACCTGTATCTCAGATCCAGTTGGTAGTTCTTCCCTCTCTCTAGTTCAGGCCTCAGGGAAAATCGGGGATAATCTTTCTATGGTCTCCTCACCTCCAAAATTCTGGCTTCACTGTTGTATTGAGTCCTGAGAAAACGATAGAGGAAAAGACGCCAGCACCTCTTGGTTGCCATTTTCTCTTGGATGCCTGTGGTCTCTGTGTGGCAGGTTCTCTTTGGATTGGATCTGTGAGCTCTTTGGGAAGTCCAGAAGATGGCTTCCTCACTGCACAGACCCTGGTATGAGTACAGATGAGCTTCAAGTACTCAACCTATGCTCATCTCTACTGACCTCTGCCCAGCATCCACCATCATAGTCTCTTCAGAACTTTCTATTGCTAGGGTCTCCTCTTGAGCCCTCACCCAGCCGGCAGCCCTCTTGGGCTTCAGCAGGGTCCACTTGGGGCACAATGACTTCTTTTATTTTTTGCCATCTAAATCGTGGGAATGCAGGCCTATGCACCAACGCCACCTTTTGATCTCTTTCCAGCTCTCCCCCACACCTTCATCAAATGGACAGGAATGCAGAACAGCAAGTCTACTGCACAAGCAGCTTTCCAGCCTTGGAGTGAAAATAGCAATCTCCACTTCTTGTGTGTCCTAGAGATACTCCTAGTCTTCTGGAGACATTTACTTACTACTTCACTCTCCCCCCAACACACACCTCACGCTGAGATGCACCTAAACACACCCTCTCTTGGCTTGAAGGATGGAGAGGGTGTTTCGTGCCTTCTCTTTTGAAAGTAGAGAGGGGAATTGCTGTGCTGCTCTCCTAGGCTGCCAACCTGTGCTCAGATAATTGCCTTCAATTTTTGTGCTTTTTGTCGTTTACGTCAGTGTGTATATGGGAATGAATTGCAACAAGTGACAGCAGCTAGCCTGTTCTCACACCTCCAATTTTAGCTACTCTGTGAATTAATATGGGAGCTCTCTTTAGAAGGTTTTTAGAATGTAGGGAGATTTAGTGATTTTCAGGTGGTAGCTTTAGCTGATCCAAACACAAGAGGATGCATCCATTCAACTATGTTATAAAGTTACTTTAATAAAATTTTTTCTGAAATATATGAAAATACATTTCCAATTTATCTCATTTCATAATGCATTAATTTAAAAGATGAAAGTTCCAAAAATAATTTTTTTTTATTTATTTTTTGCTGAGAAAGATTTGCCCTGAGCTAACATCTCTGCCAGTCTTCCTCTATTTTGTATGTGGGTTGCTGCCACAGCATGGCCACTGACAAGTAGTGTAGGTCTGCACCCAGGAACCAAACCTGGGCCACCAAAGTGGATTCTGCTGAACTTAACCACTAAGCCACAGGGCCAACCCAACAAACACATTTTTTAAAAAATTATTATATAATGTTTGGGTTGGGGCACAAAGGTGATATAAAATAAAAACTGAAATTTAAAATGTACTATGCATCAAAAAGGTATACTACGTAATTTCTTGTAGTTTTTTATCTTCAAAATAATCAATTGGTTTTTTTTTAATAATTCCTGTATTTTCTTCTCAAATTATTACTGAGAAATAATTTTTCAGACTTAAATACTTTTCTGCAGATAATATATTACCTTTATTTCCATGAATGGAAAATTAACCTGAACATACTATTTATTATATACTCTCATTTTTATACTGGCTTTTCAAAAGCCATCTTTATGAACTGCAGAATACTTACGATCATATGAATAGAACATATAAATCTTAATGATCATCCTGCTGCAAATTATCAGAATAATTGTCATTTTTATGCTCCTCATTAATTATTTGTATTTCAAGATCAGTGGTCCTCATGCTTTCCTCCTTGATGAATGTACAACTAGAATGAAAGAAGAAGTCCAGGTTATGTAATGGTCAAAACCACTAGTGTGTTCTTAGAGATAAACAAAGATACTTATCATATCCATGCCATCTTCTAATTATAGGCAATGCTCACCCTGTGTGCTCTCAGAGTGGCTCAAACTGTGTGTATTTAAAGGGAACATTATGAAAAATATCTTAGCACTTTCTCATTCACTCAACAAATATACAGTGTGCCAGACACCTAACCCCAAATGGAAGAAAATGCCAGCTTACCATGAGCCTAAAGGAAGAAGCTCCAGATCCAGCTGACCCAGTAAGCTGCACGGAGGACTCCCACCATCCACACTTCTGGTCACCAACACCCGCTCAGGTTTCTTCCTAAACACAAAACAAATTCACTCCTCCCCACAGGACACACTCTAATATCCCATCCAATCTCAACATCCAGTTGGTTGCACAGTTGTCCCTACAGCCACGTCCAGATGTGGTTCTTCGTGGCAGAAACCCACGGCTCCCCTACACCAGTGCACACTGTGGCATGAGACAGGATAAGCAGTGGGGCAGAGGCCCCCTGCTAGGTGAAATGGGACCTTCTGCTAGTTTAGGTACCAAGTTTGCTTCCTGGGAGGCAGTCGCCAGTCAGTTGTTTCCTGAAACCCATGATCTCACGTTCTGGGAATTTCCTGGTTTTCTCTTATCTGCCTGGACTTGACACCTGAAGGGAACATGGGACTATAAACCTTCTTTAGGAGCTGAGAAACTCTCAAACAGCTTTCTGCCCTAGAAGCTTGAGGGTGGTATACAAGCTCCAGAAAGCACTGACTTTTTTTTTAGAGCAGTTTCATATTTCTTTGGTAGTATGACTCTTTTTAAAAATGGAGCAGTTTTTTAATCTATTTGATTTTACGTAGTTCTGTGCCAACAGTTATGCACACATTTCTTTCCTAGAAATACTTCTTTTGAATTCTAGGCCTGCTGCTGTTTCTTTCAGACCTTGAGTGGTCAGATTTGGTGGGAGCAGAAGCCCCGTGGTATCTTCTCCTTGAGCCATTTCTCCAGATGAACAGATACACTGGGCAGCACATCCTTGGCTGGACCTTTGCTCCAAGAAACTTTCAGCCATTCGGAGGTTTCAAGAAAGAATATGTAGCTCAAAGACTTATCATTTTTATTGGAGTTGGCTTGGAGTTGAGAAGCAGTTGCCTTTTTCCTCCTTAAGAGTGTCCGATTCTTTGGATACACTCTATTTCCTTGTAATCCTTTGATGTGCAAACTGACCAATCCTTTTCCTTACTACCTTGTCAGATGCAGCCTCCAGCAACAAACACTTGCTGCTAACATTCTGTTTTCCATCTCCTTTCTCTACTCATGCTGTTTTCTAACTCTTTCACCAAGTAATTGCGGGTGACATTTTAACCAAATATTTCACCACTGCATATGGATCAGCATCTTCCCAGTGTCCCGTGACAGTTGCCTTATCCATTGCTGACTGACCACCCAGACAATGACACATACTTTAAGTTTTTTGTGACAGCATCACCCCATTTTTTTCTTCCATCTTTTTTAAAATTAGGAAACACTTGGTACGTAGCCATAACAAACAACCCCGAAACCTCAGTGCTTTCACCCGACAAACATTTTCTCACTTAACGCCACGAACCTGTAGAATGGCTCTGTTAATCATGGACGTCAGGAATCCAGACTGTGCAAGCACTATTTTGTTATTTGCTTTATATCACAGCATGAATGGGAAGGGAGCATAAAGAATTGTACACCTTGCTCTTACAACTTTCACACAGACATGTCATAGGAATTTCTGCTCATAATTCACTGGTCAAACCTATTATAACTAAACCACATGTTAATGGTGCAAGGGAGTGCCATCATACTATAAGCCGTAAAGGAAAAGAACTAAAAAATTTGGGGAATAGTACCAGTGACTATTATAGAGGGAGCAACTGGAGACAAAAAAACATGTTAGAATGCTATTTTCTATAGATAAGACTTCCTTGACCACACTAAGAACCACCACAAATGCTTGACTCTATCACTATCTAAATTAATATTTTCTGCTGCTTCATTGCCTATTTACATTAGAATGTAAGCAAGAAAGATGGACTTTGTCTGTCCCCAGGACATTTAATTGTGCTTTGCAAGTAAGGGGATCAAAAATTATTGCTTGATTGGATTGGATGATATGAGCTGGAAGGTATGGAATGAGTTAGATGACAGAAGTCAAAGAAGACCCCAAGGTTTGCTAGGTTGATTAAGAAATAACTGCCTGCTGATGGCTCTGAGTCTCCTTCCACAGAAGTCAAGAGGAAGCCATCCTCTGCAGTCTGCTGTCAGTGGGGATTAGCAGACTGTCTGTGCACCCAGCATGAGACCTTCGTCTGCAGTAATGAGGAGATATCTCACTGCCTTGGGAATAAGTGTGCGCATCTGCAGGCTCCGCCTTCATCAGCAGGAGCCACCAGGAAGCCCCAGAACACCATGTGCTCCCAGAAAGACCTCCCATCTCTCTCTCCCTTCAGCACTCATTCTATTGTCGTGCTGTCAGCAAGAGGCCATCAGGACTAATTTCAACATGTCCCTTATCTGTCACGTCAATTACTATGAGAAGCTCATATGTCTTGGTCATCTCTCATCTCCAGTATCTAATCCCCATGGAGCTCTGTATATGGCGCTGCTAACTCATGTCACACTGCGCACCAGTCCTGATCCCCTCTCGTTATGCCACTAGAACTAATTCTCCAACAAAATTCTTGACCTCACTTCCCCCTCCGGCAGTCGTGCCATCTCTCGTCTTCCCTTTATAAAAGACAAACAAAACACTTCTGAATAGAGTTGTCTATATTTACTTATATTCTGATGCCAATTTCAGTCTCTTCCCTCCCAGTTTTCCTTGCACCTCTTCAATCAGTCTTTTGTTTCTACCAGTCTAAACTCTCCTTATTTAGGTAACTATTACCCTCCATGTTAGTAAATCTTGTAGTCAATTTTTTACCTCATTTTACTTGAGCTAGGCTAGTATTTAAAACAGTTGGTCATGTGATGTCTCATTTTGGTTTTGATTTGAATTTCCCTGTTGATTAGTGATGTGTAATGCTTTTTCATGTACCCAAGGACATTTGTATGTCTTCTTTGGAAAAGTATCTATTCAGGGCCTTTGCCCTTTTTTTTTTTTCACTGAGGAAGATTTACCCTGAGCTAGCATCTGTTGTTTCATTTTTGCTTGAGGAAGATTTTCCCTGGGCTAATATCTGTTCCAGTCTTCCTCTATTTTGTATGTGGTTGCCACCACAGCATAGCCACTGATGAGTGGGGTAGATACATGCCTAAGAACTGAACCCAGACTGCTGAAGCAGAGTGTGCTGAACTTGACCACTAGGCCATGAGGCTGGCCCCCCTTTGCCCATTGTTTAAGCAGCTTATTTGGTTTTCTACTATTGAATTGTATGAGTTCCTTGTATATTTTGCATATTCATCCTTTATCAGATATATGGTTTGCAAATATTTCCTCCCATTCCATAGGTTGCCTTTTCATTTTGTTGATGGTTTCCTTAGCTGTGCAGAGGTGTTTTAATTTGATGTAATTCCATTTGTTCATTTTTTATTTTGTTGCCTGTGCTTTTGGTGTTGAATCAAAAAAATCATTGCCAGGACCAGTGTCAAGAAGCTTACTCTCTCTGTTTTCTTCTAGGAATTTTGTAGTTTCAGTTCTTACACTCAAATCTTTAATCCATTTTGGGTTGATTTTTGTGTACAGTGTAAGATAGTGGTCCAGTTTCATTCTTTTGCATGTGGATATCTAATTTTCCCAACACCATTTATTGAAAAGACTACCTTTTTCCCATTGCTTATTTTTGGCATCCTTGTAGAAAATTAATTGACCATATATGCAATAGAGATAACAAGTGCTTGCCAGGATGTATAGACAAGCGAACCCTTGTGCACTGCTGATGGGAATGTAAACTGGTACAACCACTGTGGAAAACAGCATTTCTTGACTTCCTTAAGAAATTAAAAACATAACTACCATATGACCCAGCAATCCCACTTCTGGTTGTATATCCAAAGAAATAGAAATCATTATCTTAAAGAGCTGTCTGTACGCCCATGTTCATTGCAGCATTAATCACAATAGCCAAGGTATGGAAAATACCTAGGTGTCTATCGACAGATGAATGGATTAAGAAAATGTGGTATATATATATATATATATATATATATATATATACAATGGAATATTATTCAGCCTTATGAAAGAAGGAACTCCTGCCATCTGTGACAACATGGATGGACCCTGAGGGCATTATGCCAAATGAAATAAGCCAGACAGAGAAAGAAAAATACTTACATGTGGAATTAAAAAAAATGTCAAAGTCATAAAAACAGAGTAGAATGGTGGTTGCCAGGGGCAAGGATATAGGAGAAATGAGCTTGGTAAAAGAGTACAAACTTCTAGTTGTGAAATGAATAATGTCTGAGGATCTAATGTACAGCATGGTGACTATAGTTGATAATACCGTATTGTGTAATTGAAATTTGCTAACAGAATAGAACTTGTGTTCTCACTATACAAGAAAAGGTTAAATATGTAAGTTATGGGTGTGTTAATGAACTTGATTAGGGGATCCTTTCACAATGTATACATAAATCATCATGTTGTTTACTTTATGTATATTATATTTTTTTTCTCAATTGTACCTCAATAAAGCTGGAAAAAAAACCCTAATAATATAAAAGTCATGCTCTCCTCCTTGAAACTCTTTTGTCCTTGGCTTCCAGCATATTGTACTCTTTTTGCTTTCTTCTTCCTCGAATGTCTGTTACTTCTAAGCCTCCTCTCCTCCTTGTCGCCCAGATCTCCAATGTGGGAGAGTACCAGGTCTTAGCCCTTAAATGTCTTCTCTTTTCTATCTGCTTAAACAAATTGGTGATCTCACATGGACACATGGCTTTAAGTGATATCTGTATGCTATTGACCCCACATTTATCAGTTCAACCTGAACCTCTGTTCTGAACACCTGGCTCATATATCCAACTGCCTACTCATCTGTCCACTTCTGTCTATGAGCATCTAAAACTTAGTCTAAAAGTGAGCTCTTATTTTCTTCCAAATCTGCTTCTCCCATAGTCTTCACCATTTCACTAAAGACAATTCCATTCTCCCAGTTGCACAGGCAAAAAACTTTATGTTCATCTTTAATTTCTTTCTTTCCCTCATACTCCAGATATTGCAAATAGTGCAAACTTGCAAATATCATAGGTTCTCATGAATGTATCCTAAATCGAAACGGTGCTCATCACCACCGTGTCCACTCCCTCGTGCGTTGGTTCAAGCTACTATTACCCCTCTGCCTCTTATCCATTTCCACTACTCCTCTTTGACCCTTTCGACTTCTTTTTCATGACATTTTTATTTTCTTTGGTCAGTGCTTTATTTGTGTTGTTGAAAACTTGGTCACATTTTCATTTGAGTCTATTCTTCCTTAAACACTTGTTGCTATGCAGCCTCCCCAGGAGTTACGCAGATGTAATCTGAGACTAGCCCCGTTATATGGAGAGCAGGGAGAGATGGAAGAAAGAGGCAGCCCACTCCAGACTGATAGGTGGCAAGGTTAATAAGCAAAGTAACTTACATAGAGGCTTGTCTTGGGTGGCTGAAGACAAGCAGATCTCCGCACCCACCCACCAGCATCTTAAAAGTTTATGTAGAGGCCTTAACTGGCTTCAGTCGCGTGCTCAGTCCAGATATTCTCATAATCACATTGCTATCTCAAGGCTGTATCCTTGGAGCAGCTTCTGGGTACAGGGAAGGCAAGAAGAATGAACATTCCAAGGACAGAGGGGTGGGAGGAGCCTCCAATTGCCCAGGTCCAGCTGGAAGGTCAACTGGCGGTCACATCTTCTTGATGACCTCCCCCAACAGCACCTTCTAATTTATTTCTCATCTCTGAGTTAATTGTGTCTTTTTCTTGCACTTCTTTTCTAGATTCATTCCCCTCTTCATGTCTCTCATTTTTTTGGTTCATTTCTATTGTTTTTGAATTTCTAATTCAAGCTGATTTTTTGTATCCACAAATGCTTGTTTGGATATATTCAATTATTTCTGGAGTGTACACTTAACAGTTTTCTTCTGTTTTATGTTATCATTTTGGGGGAGTAGGTGAGATAAGAGGTGATTTTCTTAAATTGATTTGAATTTGCATGAATTTTCATGTCTTGAATTTCTGCAATAGCTCTCTAGGAACTTTTATTTCCTTTGCTGATTCTTATGTTTGGGGTGTTTTTAAGAGTCCTAGTTTATTTCTACCCTTTTCTGTCAGTTTAACAAGGTTCAGGGAGTATAGCAAGGGTTTTGTTTGTTTATTTCGGTGATGGGGAGCGGATTGGGACTTCTCTGATATTGTGGCATCCTTCAATCTTACAGGACCCTGAATTTTCTGCTTTTTCTTATTTTTTCCTCCATTACCCAGTTGCTGAAGGGCACTTCTTCCTTCCTTTTTGCCATTTCCTCTCTCTCAGAAGCTGTGAAACTGGAAGACTGTCCCTGAAAGTCATTCTTACCCTTCTAAACCCAAAGTGTCCCCTTAAATCACAGTTGCCCTTTACATGATACCTGGTTGTTTATATCATGCATCCTTTTACATCGCTTCTCTGTGGAACTTGTACCCATCTACCCAGTCCTTTGTTCGTATTTTAAGATTCAAGGTGATTGCCCCAACTCTCCCTCTCCCCATAGCCAACATCCCTCCTGTCTCCCCTGCTGTTTTTCTTGGTTAGCTCTTACAGTTTCTGCATCCTGATGGTACCTCTATCTTGAGACTTTCCCACCCCAATGTTAACAATCAGGAAATCCTTCCTGATTATTTAATTTCTCAAGCATCAAGCAGGTTTAATCACATTATGTTCCTTATATATATTCTTAATTTTTTCATGGATAACATCCCATTAAATTATTTGCTTACTTGGAGGTTTTCCTAGTAGAGAGGAATAGACCGTTTGGCCTTTGTATTAGTGTTGGTGTTCAGTTGCTGACCTAACAAATTACCACACACAGCAGCTTAAAACAACACAAATTTATTACCTTACAGTTCTGAAGGACAGAAGTCCAACACCAGTCTCACCAGACAAAAGTTAAGGTGTTGACAAGGCTGCATTCGTTTCTGGAAACCAGGGATGAATGCACTTCTGGGCTTGTTGGGGTTGTTGGCCAAATTCAATCCCACACTCAGTAGGAGCTATTGTCAAAATGTTTGTGTAATAAATCTGCCTACATGTAGAGAAACAGTGTAGAGCTCCATATGATTTTAGACTCAGTCTTAGATAACCACAGCACTGGCAATATTTTCATATTCCAACAAATAGCCCTCCTCTTTCACGGTCCCCTTCCCACTCCCAAGCACCTTGTGATTGTTGCATAGAAAGGAAGTGCTTTTAGGCCTTAAGAGAACATGACAAAGGTGAAAGCTCTTGACACCACCTCTTCCTCAATAAGTTCCCTGCTTCATACTTGTCTTTGTGTGATGCTTACAAGGTGTGCTTCAAGTATTCTGTTGGTATCTATTCAGAATTCCACAGATTGGACAGTAGTCCATCCTGAGGCTACCTTTCCATCACAGAAATGCACTCATTCTCCAGCTGGGCTTCAGGGTAGTCGCAAAGGATCGTTTTTAATCTTGCTTTCTTGTAATCTTTTAACATCCTGTTTCCATCTCTGCAACACACACATCATGCCATCGTTTTCAAACTATTTATAAGTGTTGATTTGCATTTTTTATGATTTTCTCTGAATTGTTTTAAGCTCTGGCGTCATTTACTAACCTCCATGTTAAAGAATTTTGCAACAAATTCTCATCAGACTAAAGAGCAGCACATTTGATGGTTCTGTCATTTGCTGCTATTTGTCATTTGTTACTTTGGACAATAGGCAGGAACAATTTTCTCTTTGGCCACATCTGAAAGCCTAACCTTATGCCTGCAATTCACAAAAGGAGAGAAGTAGCAGAATAAGGTATTCTAGTTTGAATACAAATGTATTGGCCTTCTGTTAAATTAAGGAAAATAATTATGATTATGTGTATAAAAGATGGAAGAAAGTTAGGTAGTAACTCATTTCCTTGGCCCTAAATTGACCTTTTCTAAGATTCTATTGCCATATCTCTATAGAAA